GTGTCCATAAGAGATGTGCCACCTAAAATCAATGGACGCAATTACAACATCTGTATTCCCACCCTGAGGTATCTCAGAAGTCTGATTTATTTTTTTTTTTCCCAGTGTAATTAAAGGCGACCAGGCACACTTAGAAGCCTGTGTCTTTCACATATTGCAAGCTCAATATTGGAAAACAGAAGCAGCAGAAATCTTAATGCATCTGAAAACCTTGCCCAAGCAGTTACATGTAACACATACTTGTTTAAACTTGTGTTTGGTGCGAGTACTGAATTGTTCAATTTTTCAGGCTCTCATTTTTAGAAAAAGAAATGTTTTCCAGTTGAATATTCCTGAAGTAGGTGGTGGTTGGAGAACAGCACTGGGCAGGGAGGAGGGCTAAATGGTGAGAGCTAGCCCAGGGTACTCCTCTGTGGAGATAACGCACTGAAAGGCAATCTCAAAATAATATTTTTCACTTCTACAGTGCCTTTAATTTGAAAACCAAAAAGCATGCTACAAAGATGATGCGCTTGCTGGGCCGCAAACGCTTCTGGCGAATCCTTTGAGAGGCTTTTCATCCCGGAGCCGCTCTGTCCGTCCGAGTCCGGTGCCTCCCCAGCAGAAGCCCCGTCCAAATCGGTGCACCGTGACCAAAAAGCAAATTGGAAAACAAAGATTGCATAGGCATGAGCCTCATAGCCACCAAACCAGGGCAGGCTGGAATTATGGATGCTGCTTATATTTAAAAACAAAACAAAACAAAACAACCAAAAACAAACCCAAACCACAAAAATGCAAAGAAAGCCACCGAACTTGGAACAGAAGTGGCTTTAAGCGCCGCACAATGCACAACTGAAGAACTAGACAAACATGGCCTATTTTGAGAACTTTTTTTGGGGGGAGGGAAACAGGACAAAAGAGCCTTCTCTTGATTTGTGATGAATCTCATTGCAGAAGGAATTTAAATCAGCCCCTAATCTTACTATAGTGCTTTTCCTTTTTTCTTTTTTTTTTTTTTTTCTTCCCCTTGGTGATGTTTCCTTTCTGAAGACTGTACGCAGCAGGACACAACAAAAGCATTTGCTTCTCTGGCCTTTTGAGATTAATGGTATTTAAATCCAGTTCATCCAATATCTGGAGGATCGTTAGCTTGTGCGCAGCTTCCCTCTAACCAGTTCTTTGCTGTTCCGATTTCATGATTCACCATCGCTGTGCAGGCATGGAAAAGAAAGAAAACCACACCAGTGTCATGCTGTTGGGTTAGCTGTCTCCGCGGGGAATTACACACGCGAGTATCTCGGGTGTCCCTGAGCCGGTGTTATCGGAGAACCCGGGGCAGCCATGCAGCCCCCGAAGGGACCCACCCGTGGTGCCGGCAGCGGGGGCCGGTCTGGTTTCCCGGCGGGGTGGTGAGCACCCCCTCACCCCTTCCACAGCTCCCCGGTGCGGACTCAGCAGTCCAGTCGCCCTCTTTCCACAGCTGGGGATAACTTCTTACAGATGGAGGGTTTGTGTTCAGCCTGGCCTCGTAACAGGTGAGCTCTCTCTTTGTCCTGCTGGTTTCTGCCTGGCTAGCTTGCTCCCTACCGCTTTCTTAATAATGGTTGGTTCACGCCAACATTAAACATGTGACATTTTTTATCAGCTGGTTGGATTTCAGTCAGCATTAATAACAAGGGTTTAAACCACCTCTGAAGATAAAAGGGCCATCCATAATCTTAATATTTCGCATGTTTTCTTAAGTACCTTGCCAAACTGAGGCACAGCCTGCGAAAGGAACATTTCTTTCTCTACCGACTTATTCCCCACCCAGAACATCTCTCCAGAAGAAAGTCACCCTTTTTCGGACAGCAAGACTAGGAGGGTGCCCAGCAGCCCCAAGGAAAGCAAACCCCCCAGGAGGTGAGATAAAGCGGTGTCGGGGGGGGAATTCTTCATGGTACCCGGCAGCCTACAAAGACCCGTGCTGCGAAGGGGACGGGCCGCGCTTCGGCTTTCCCGGGGGAGAAGAGATCGGCCTTGTGCCCGCTTGGGCATCGCAGGAGCATCGGCCCTTGCCTGCGCCCACCTGCCCGCGCGGAACGGAACCCCCACCCCGGCGAGGCTGGGGGGATGCCGTGGTTCTCTGCTCGGGCACAGGCAGGATTTTAGCACTAGGTTTCAAAGGCAATGTAGATTATTTTAAATATATATTTTTTTTAAAAAAAAAACTATATACACATATATATTTTTAACTTAGCTTACACGCAAGGCAGATGCCCTCCACCTACAAGGAGCCCGGGCTGTCGTATCTTGCCTCTTGTGTACAAATCTGCAGTCTTGATGCTCACAAGCACAAATTTTTGCTACAAGAATAGCTTTGTTTTGTTTTATTTCATAGCCTTTTGCTTTGCTTACTCAAAAGAGCTGCTGAAAACGTCTATTTACCTGTACATAGTTACCTTTCCGACATTTATTCAGCTAAGAGTTTGGTCAGGAGAAGCAGCAGATCTTGGTCTGATGAGGTTCAATTGCAGAAATAAATGGGAAACAATTTTTTTTGTTTACTAGCAAATCCCACCACTTCGGATACCTTTTCACTTTGAAATGAAGCATGCTTCAAAATTTCATGTAAAATGAAATTTGGAAAAGTAGTTTTGAGTTGAGGAAACACTTAGAAATATTTTACCACTACAGGGTTCTGTTCTTTAAACCTTTTTAAAATTTTATATTAAAAACTCACTTACTCTGAAAAGTAATTTTGGAACAACTTTCATTCTGAAAATGTCATTAGTCTGAGATGTTTTCAAAACGTATCTTATCAAAATCGATTTATAGTTCAAAACATGTGGGTCTTGATGAACTCCCCTCAGCATCTTTCTGAAGCAGGAAAACAACACTCAGCCAGCAGTGTTCAGTGAGATGTTTCCCGTATTGAAATATCATCAATAAAATGTAAAAAAGGAATTACCATAACTTGAGAAGAAATTTGCCCAGACAAAGCAGTGTTTCAGAATCTGAAAATGAACCCAATAATCTTGCACTTTGTATTTGACTGATATCCTTTGAGCAGCTCTGAATGTTTTAGAGAGAAATCTCCTGGGTTTATTTGCATTTGTTTGCCTTCCTACAATTTAGAGGCATAAACTTCTCAACAACCTGATCCTGAGATACCAGTCATAAGAAAATATGCTTAAGTCGTGTGTGTGCCTTCGCTCTGACTGAAGCCGCCCCACCCGAACAGGGTTGCTTTCTTGCATCAGGGCGTAAGCCTCGCTGCAGTGCTCTGAAGTGACAACATCTCTGTTTGACGGGGGGGGTCTTGCGGCAGGGTGTACCCCAAAGACACCTTTTGCCAGTCAGGAGCAAAACCCCCACCTTCTGTTGGGGTTCATGCAAATCCAGCACAAAAGCATTTTAGCAAGGACAGTATTTAAAATGTCAGCTCAAGCTGGTAGGTCATGGTGACTTTTTTCTGATGATGAACTGTTTAAGTTTTGGAAAGTGAATTTAACGCTCGGGGGGTGTTGTGCCTTAAAAAGCCTTTTATTTAATGACCGACTTCTGCTGGCGTTAGCGTACGGCCGGAGCACCCTCTGTCCTGTGCTCCCTGCTACAGGCTCCGCAAACCTGTGGTTAGTTTTTAGAGCACCACTGTGCAGCTGCCTCTCCTTAACAATTTTCCCCCTCCGAGGTACCGTTCAGAGGCTGGAAGGGAAGACCTGGATGGTGAGCAAATCCAGCATCTTTTCCAGCTGCTCAGGGTAAAATGATTGTGCTTGCTCGCATCTAGAACCTAGGATCTAACTCTCTTCAAAAGAACCCAACCAAACAAAAAACCAAACCACAAAACAAAACCAATGACAAAAAAACCAAAAAACCCTCCTACAACATGACAACGATTTCTCTTGCAATAGGTGTAAGGAGAAACCCTTTAAATACAAATAGCGGCCAGGGAGCAGCCCCATCCAAAAGCTACCCCCAAACTGCAGCTTTGGAGCAACTGATTTGCCAACTCTCCGGCAGCGGTGATTTAACATCCCTGCCACTTCACTCCTGAGCAAGGGGGCTCGGAAAAGAGGGGACCCGGGGTATTATGAGGGTCTACGGCGGGAGGTGCGGCTCTGTCAGCGCGGGGTGCTGAGCTGAGTTCTCTGGTGCCGTGGGAAGGGGAAGACCTCCGTCCTCCTGCCACCCCTCCCTGCTCCCGGCCTTGCCCGCTCGCCTCTCCGCAGCCCCAGGGATTCCCTTGGCACCCAGATGGCTGAGATGTTTGTCACCGTAGCCTGGCACGGAGGAGCTGCTTTGCCCCCTCCCCAAAATGCGGCCGCAGCACAAGCGTGCAGGCACGGGCGGTGATGTACAGCCTCTCGCTTCCAGCCGGAACCAGAGTTTTTAACCGTGGAAAATGGGAGTTTGAGGGGGGTTTAGGGGTTCTGGCCAAAATCCTGAGGAAACCAGCCAGAAAGTTTTTAAGTTTACAAGGTGTCAGGGTTGTGGTTTTGCATCCCCCTGGGATCTCTGCGTGGACCACGGGTCAGTGCTGGCTCCAGGAAGATCCTTTGGGTTTCCCTGGGGGTCGGAGGAGCCCCGGTCCGGTGGGTCACAGCTCCAGCCAAAACTCCTGGCCGGGGTCCGCGGGGACCCATGGGCACCCGGCGGCAGAGGGGAGCGGGGTGTCTGCGCTGCTGGGGAGTGCCGAGGAAGCGATGCTGACTGCTTGTGTTAACACCTTGGGAAACTGTGATTAAAGTCTGATCAGCGAGGGAAACTCCATCTGTGCCATCTGGTTGTCTGTCTCAGAGGTTTACAACCGCAAGATTACAGAGCAGTGCAATTTACAGGCAGAGACTGGTTTAGGAATAAGAGCATCAAACCTTTTGTTTAAGTTGAAATCAAAGCCCCTATATATAAAAACTTTAAAACTTAAATAGACCAAAGAATAACTCTACTTATAATTACATATAAAAAAAAAAATCAGGTTATTTTGGAATGACATTGGCCATATTTCTTCAAATAATGTAAAGGATTAAAAGTACCTTGGGTTGGCAATTGATTCTTTTTCTTCTTCTCTTACGGTAGGCAGACATTCACAGTCAGCTGAAAAAGGGTAAGAAACAAGACTAGAGTTACTCTTGGCAGTTCTTCTACATTTATTTCAGAATTGCACAACTTTTATCGCGCAGTCTCTCTAGAATGTAAAACTGCAGATGTTCTTCTGCACCCTTTTATGTGTAAAATCTGCATGGGCCCCATAGCATGAATGTTACCTGTTTTAAATCCTCCTTCCTTTTGATAGGTGTTGCCATAATTTCTTTCTTACGCATATTTCAGTTGTTTATGTACACTTACACAAACGAACTCCTTCGGCAGACAGTCTCCTGTAAGCTGCCTTGGGCAGGGCTATCTGCTCATCCTCCTCTCCTGACAGTTGTGCCTATGCCTTATAGTCCAGCTGGGAATTTGGGACTGGGGGTCAGGGAACACTAACAAAAAAGACCCTGTATGTAAACTCTTTGCTCCCTTCTGTCCACAGAATTAAAAAACCTGCTTTACAGCACTCTACTTAACGCCTCTGTTTCACTACTGCCACTTAGCACATGGTTTCTGCAAGAGCTTATGGACCGCGAAGGTCAAACCCCATCGCGTGGAGCACTGTGCTCATGCAAAGAAATGCTCCACAGAGTTTTATGTCCTGAAAATCAAAGCATCCCTAGGAGGAGGTCAGGCAAATGAGCCATTCTGGATATAAGGCAAGGGACCAGGAATGAAAAAAATACCAGGATTTGAGCATTTCCTAGCCAGTGAAAAGCTGTTAGCAGTTCAAAGTCAGGTGCCGGTTAACTCACGCCTTGCCAAGGACCTGCATTTTTGGAGGAGAGCCTTGAAGGGGGATGCAGGGCCCTTAAGAGCTTTTGACCAGGAGATTTCATTTGGGAGGAAAATGGGGAGAAGCAGATGAGATATTTCGAAGTAGCTAAGGAGGAGCTGAAGATGCTGCTGGTGGTAGTGACTGCTCCGTGGGCTGACGGACTTGCCAGAGAGGCTGGAGATGGTGAGCGGTGCTGGCAGCAAAGAGCAGCTTGTGCTTCAGGGGTGGAGATGGCAAGCGAGGGAAAGGACGCAAAGAGGGGAGGGATGTATTCATAGGGTCCTGGCAGCAATTTTAAGTAAGCGGTGGTCTGGACGATGAGTAAATGCACGTTTCTTTTACAATAGCGCAGTGTGGAGCACAAAACTGTAGCAACTCTGAAGAAGGAAAGGACTAGATGCTTCAGAGAAACTAGTATTTAGCATTAAAAATGTGTACTTAAAAATATAAATACCGTTCACAGCTCTACATGTGTTTAATAGAAGTGTCTACTGGAAACTCAAAACATTTATGATACTCCATCATATGTTAAAAATAAGCTCTCACACAAACCAAAATACTCCTCTGAACAATTCTACCCCTGACATTCGTGTTGCTATTTTAGTAGCAGGGCGTCAGGAACACAACTTAAAAATGTTGTAGGAAAAGCAGTGAGACACAAACAAAATGCCTTACATTGATTTTCTACGCACAGGCTCTACATCAGCTAGAAAGAGAGGGATGATGGAGCAGAGGGGTTACCGTGTACCGTTTTTGTTCATGCTGTTCATCCATTTATCAAGCTCTTCCATTTCTATCTCCATAACAGAGGGTGTGTCTTCTTCAAAAATAGGACTTGAGAGGAGGGAGGGGAAAAAAAAAAGGCATTACACAGAATGCTTAATGCAAACAACTTACAACGCAGTAATTTTGTATGAGTGTCTCATAGTTCCAGACACATGTATGATCTCTGGGAAGCCGTCCTAGCCCAGCAGGCTGGGGAGATGTCAGCCCACGGTGTGAACAGAACGGCTGCCAACAGATGCGAAGGAGCGGCAGGGAAATGCCGGTCCCGGGCAGAGGCAGGGCTGGCCGGGACGTGGTCTGCAGGGGGGCTCAGCCAGAGCTCAGCACCGCTGCAGCTCTCCAGAACTGTCCCCGCTGTGAAGAGAAAACTGGAAAATACAGTGGTTTGTCTCTGCCTGGCTGGAACACATGGCAAAAGTCCCCTTGCTCCAGGGATAAAAGCAGAGGGCCTAAAGTTTTGTCCTAGCTGTGACTGATGTTGGCAGCGACTTGAGAAGGAACGGTCATGAGCAGAGTAACTGCATTTATTGAAATGCCTCTGTTTAGCTTCCCTTCGCTGGTTGTTCCTGGAGTCACACGGTAGAAAACATATTTTTAGCAAAAAACCTCCTTTTTTTGCTGTGAAGCCAATTTAATAACTTCCAGCATTGAGTAGCAAGATGGAGCTCAATAAAAGTTAATGCTAAAAATTATCACTCTGATAAAAGCCACGCAGCTTTTGGCTTGTTCTCCCATTGCGTCCAAAGCTGAGGCCTTTCTGCCTCACCTGGGAGTGAGAAGACAAACTTGATAAAGAGGGGAGCGAGACCCAGAGCTTGTTCCGAACAGCGAAAGCCTGTGACGAGCCTGGGAACGGATCCCCTCTGCTCGGGGGGCACCTGGTACGTCTTGGAGCCAGGGGGCTCAGCGCGGGCACAGGGGCGGCTGCGGCGGTGGGTGCCTGGGGGGCTGCGCTCCCCTTGGCCACCGTCACGCCTGTCTCCTGCTCTGGTCTTACACCTGCAGCTAGCTACTGAAGTCACACCTCAGCCACCTCTCCGGGTAGTTAACTGGAGCGACTGATGGCAAAAGGGCATGGTGTTTAGTGTACGGTTAAATTAAAACAGGCGGTGAAGGAGCCAAAAATCATAATGGCCTGTTAGAGTAAAAAGAACAAAACAAAACAAAGGAGTGATATTCATAAACTTTACCTTTTCACATTTTCGCTTCCCAGCTCATCTGGAAAAGAAAAAAGTTGGTGTTCATAGTTCTGCTCTTTGTATGTAGAGGGTCCAGACTGCAAGCTAGCCTTGAACAGGGTCACGTGAAACAGGTTGCACTTTCAAAAGGCGTAATAGTTAACTCGTAGATGAAAGACAAAACACCTCATCCTGTTTGTAATTTTCAGAGGAACCCGTTATTTTTAATCCTGAACTCACGAAAAGCAGCGTGCTGTTAGCTCAGCCGTGCTGGGAGGAGACGGACCGAGCGCTGCGGTGGGCAGGACACGGCAGGGACGCGCTTCCCTGAGCAAAACTGATGTCGTGGGAGAAACGGTACCCTGAAAAGGGACCGCTGCTGCAAAAATATTATTTACTGGAAGCGCCGGGACATTTTGCTGCAGACTACACGCGGGCAATCCGGCTCTGCCTGGAGACTCTGGGAGCTGCTCATGGAGAGAAGTGGGGCATGGACTTGCATGGCAGATTACATCTCAGGCAAATGAAGCTGAACTAGCCAGATGTCAAAAGGGATCCAAAGCTAGTTATGACCCCAAGACAAAGTAAAGATGGGGGAAAAAAATAGCCTAACAGCCATTATTCAGATAAATAACCTCCCCTCCAGGAATCAAGTGACTGAAAAGCCTCAGCCCTCAAAAAAGAATGAAGAACTACATATAGGATTCACACTGCATACTGTCTGAAATCAGCTTATTTTTAATTGATTGCTGCCAATGGGTGCTGATACCTCCCAGCTGTTCCGGCCGGTTCCCTGACGGCAGAGCCACCCCACGAGCACACCCCACCTCGGGGCTGCCCGAAATCCCCGCTCCAAGCAGCGGGCCCAGGCCAGGAGATCCCAGGAGCGTGCTCCTGCACGGCACCGCACTTCCCATCCCTCTGAAGAGTGTACCTGCCTTCAGGGCATCCAGAAACAGGCGGGCAACTCGGTGCCTGGCTGTGAATTCAGAGTTTGCTACGAGGGTGACCTGGTGATAAGGCAGGTGCAGTCTAAAAATGCCCTGGAAAAGGGACTTAAAATCTGTGTTGAACATCTGTCGCTGTCTGCAGGCTGAGGAGCTTACAGCCGCACTCGCTCCGCAGAGACACTGCCACGGCCGTTTCAGGACTTCACTTCAATATGACACCTCAGTTTGTTTGCTGTGGCTTCACACTCCAAGTCACCGGTTTCTTTGCTGACAGCTCAAGGTACCCTCCTGAAGTGCTGCTCACCCTGCCGCAGCACCCAGACAGCCTGACCGCGGCATTCCCGGCTCATTTACTGTGACAGCTCCATCGCTGCCACCACCCCACAGGATCCCTGAAAAGTGTTCCTTAAAATGGTTTTGCTTGTTCTTATTTTATCGAAGCTCCGAGCAGCTTTACCTTGTGGGCAGCATAGGCAACAGAAGCACTAAATTCACCTTGCATGAAGCTGTTAAACGTAAAGGCAGAATAAGCATTTGCAGGCACACGGTTACATCCGAACGCTGCTCCCGGCATTGCCAGGAGCCGGAGCTCGGTGCCGCGGCCAAGAAGCAGCTCGAGCTCCCACCCACGGAGAGGTGGGTGCCCCAGATGCCGCTGGCCGGGGCTGGATCCCTTTCCTACCCATCAAACCTGCAACTACAGCCACAGAAGTACATCCTAAATGTGGCATCCCAGGCCTCCAAATAACGTCTTGTTAATGTTGAGCGCACCCTAAAAATATCGTTCCGATGCGTGAGAGGACAAATTTACCTTGCTTGGACTTTTTCCTTTTATGATGTATTACAAAAAACGTGATCAGCAAAATCAGCAGGACCAGCAGCGCGATGGGGACAACGTATATCAAGATAGACTGTTCTGCTTCTAGGCTGTCCTGTTTGTTCACGGTACTTGGAGGACTGTTTGTTTCAAAGCTGCTTTCAGTAGCGGTTGCGTTGACAAGTACTGGCTCCTGGTCATCCACGGTCAAAGAATGCGTAGCAGGAGGAGGCGTTACTGTAACGGTGGATAATATCGGCAATCCGTCTCCTGAACCATCATGTTCAGAACCTGCCAAAGACATGAGCATAATTTAACATTTAACGGGTTTTATCGGTATTATCAGAGAGTTAAAGCATACAACTTTAATATTTACTTTCCATTTTTGACATCTTAAAAAAAAAAATCAGCAGATGCCCCATACACACAGATTTGAAGTCTTGGCCCTCAGATGTAAACTTAGATTGCAAATTCATCACAAAATCTTACCAGTCCTGACCACGTTCTTCAGCTGGGTTTACTGGGAGACGCCGGCGTGCGCGGTCCGGCCGCAGGCAGCTGCCTTGCACAAACAGACCTTTTTTCCTGCAGGTTGGCATCCCGGCTCTCGCTCACGTAAAAGTCTTCTGCTGCTCAGTAAACCGCACCGTCCTGCTTTGCTCCTCAGCCTTGGCACCTACAACCGCAACCTCTTTCGTCCCTCCCCTTGCCCAAGGAGTTCGTGCTCCCTTTGGGGCCACCGTTATCCCTGGTTCACCAAGTCCTCCAGCTCACCATTCTCCCCGATTTGTGCCTTTCTCAAATTTGTTAAAATTGTTTCACTGTGAAAAACAGAACTGGTGGAAGGAAGCCCGAAGCCCGCAGAAGTTGCCGACTTTCACTTCTGCACGGAGCAGAAGAGGCATTTGTAACGGAGGGACCGAAGTCTGGACACAGAGGCAATGACCTGCTCCTCTTCCCGAGCCGGCGGGCTGGCCCGGTCCGTGCTGGTTATTCCTCCCAAGCGCTATGGCTGGGGGTTTTGAACCTTCATTTGGGTTTTGGTTTCATTCATCAGGCACTTTGCAAGGAAAGTGGCTAAAAGTGGCTATACTGGTAATTGCGAAACAAGCTTTTTTTGGAGGCTAATTAAGAGTCTGTGTTGGCTGTCACAGGGTTTAAAGCTTAACAGAAGGACAGCAAATCCTGGGCTGATACCGTACTCTGTACTGATGCCAAAAATCCTGTTGTAGCCAAAGGTGCAGGAATCGCTCCTTAGATAAATTACACCAACGTGTTTCCAAATGCAAAGCCTTTAATAATTTTCTTAGCATGAAATTAAATGATGATTTTTTGTGTTATCTGCCCTTTCAGACACAGTGCCGGCACGGTGCAGCTCTCATTTTCTGCAATAAAGCAGGATGGGATTTCATGACTTTTGCAATGACATGTTTCTCCCCGTTCTTGTAAAGTGCTGGGCAGCCATCGTTTCCGCTAGAGTTAGCAAGAGCTTAAGGTTTTCAGCACCTCAGTGCTGGCATTTCCAGTCTCACAGGACTGGAACCAAAAGTACTTAGCATTTTAAATGCTTTTGTAAACACATTAATCTTCATAATGGCCCTGAGAGATGAGCAGTTATCATCTCCATTTTACAAATGAGAAACCAGAAGGACAGGGATGCTGTCCTTCCCAGGGACACCGAGTGAGAGAGGAAAACTGGGATTAGAGCGCTATCTCTTGCTTAATCCACTCGGCAGCATCTCCTCTCCTGTCAGATTCGTCTCAAAGAGGAGATGAGTATCTCATGAGACAGTATTCCAGGAAACCCAATTTCACATGAATAAAATGATCTGAGTGTGACAGCAGTGATTTATCTAGATTTTTGTGCCACGCTTATCACTCAGGCACCTGATTGTCTCATCCTTTCCTGAAAACTAGGAAAGAATTTTAACACTTGATAAATAATACCTGATACTTGAATATAGTATTAAATACCGTAAAGGTCACCAGACTGTTTCACCACAATGTGACAATGAAAATGTTAGCTCTTCAGTGGCAAAGCCCTCTGTATCAATAGTCTCTCTGTCGCTTTCTTCTGTACTTAGTATTTCAGCCAAGAGCAAAACACGATCCCTGCCTCCCTTGCAGGTAATGACCCCTTACGCGTGCGCTCCTCCACCCCTTCCCCTGATCTGCTGGCTGTCCTTAACCCTATCGCTAAGGACGGGAGCTCTCGCTCCTCTCCCTTATTAGTTTGGCCACTTGTACTTTTCTTTCCCAAGGCGGTTTACAGTCCCCGGTGCCTGCAGCCCCTCCATTTCCATTGCTGTCGCACAGAGCGGCGAGCTATCGCTAGGGATGTCCGCGCCGCAGACCGCGTCGTGACGGACCGTGCCGCTGGCAGAGCCGACAGACCTCACCGAACCGCTTCGACGACCTTCCTTCCTTTTCCTCCTCCAGCCATCGCCCTTGAAACCCCCCTCTGTCTGCCACGTCTGATATATCGACAAGGACAAGCCCGTTGCTTAGAATAGTATAAATGGGAAAGGGTGTGGCGGAAAGACCTTATTTTTCATTTACTCTTAAAGCTGAAATGGATTTTGCAAATGTCTAAAGCATGGTGTGACTTTAAAGCCAAAGCAGAGTCACACCTCCTTAACTGCAGTGCTAAACTTTCAGCTGCAGCGTGTGCGGTGCTTGATTTCCAAGAGACTTTTCCAGCATCTGTGGTACTTTTTATTTACCTCTTTCTGAGCTACAAAGCAGATTTCGAATCATTTGTCTCTGTGTGAAACAGAATTACCTTTTCTAGTCTCCAGGCAAAGGAAATGGCAAATCACAGGGAGTGACCTTGCTACCGCGTATTTTTGTTCACTTTGCACAATTCCAGGGACAAACCAGCATCTCTTCTGTGAACACCACTTCCTCTGACAGAGGTCTTTTCTCCCAGGGAATTAAATACGTCTTTCAGCAGAAGGGCAGCCAATCGCACAATGTTCTTGCAACGATATTGCTCTTAATTCCTGTGTTTCACCTGCTGCCTCGACACATCTCCCTCCAGCTCTTCTGCCCGTCCCCTCGAGGAGCAGAGCTGGACCCGAGGGATGCCCGACCTCTCACGCAGGGGCTGCTCTCGCTCTCGGACCACCCACGCATCGCTTTTTTGACACGGCAGGAAAATCACAGCCTGCACCTGGGTGGGCCAAGGAAGGATTTGTACCTCCAGCCCGGCGGGGAGGGACGACTGATGCCTCCCGGTGCAGGCGCAGGGCTCGCCGCAGCCAGCTGCCCAAACCACATGGGACCCACGTGGCTGGCCCCAAGGTAGTCATTGTTTTTCACAGGGTTTCAGTTTAAAGTGCTCAAAATAGGAAGCGGGTGGCGTTGCAGCTGGCCCCAGTGGCTGTTTTGCAGGGCGAATGAAAGGTGGGCGTTGCGAGGTTTGGAGCAGGGCAGGAGGGCATCTGAAAGTTGGAGATTTTGTGAGATGCCGTTCAAACATTTCCTCCATGCCTGGAGGGAGCCAGACGTGCGGTGGCCATTCATACCACGCGCTGTCTTGTCTGCTGTGCTTGAGTTTCAGCTTGCAGAGATCTACTAGCTCCCTCCAAAAGGGAGTCTGACCGTAACATAACCTAACCTACATTCAGGATGGAAAACCGAGGCCAATGGGGTGGAACAAGGAGCAAGCCACATCTGACCATGTAGATATCTCCTTGACTTCGCAAAGCCCGTGCCCTTGCTCCCTCTGAGCTCAGCCTCGTGCTGTTGGCTACAGTCCGACATCCGTACTTGGCCTCTGCACATCTCGGCCAAGGAGCAGGTGCTCACACAACAACCGCATCGGCTTCAGCTTTGTCTGGACCGCCTGGGGCATGAGTGCTGGCCACTTCTCCCCATGTCGAGAGACGTGGATGGGAGCACGCCATGGCCCAGCCCACGTTGCCACTTGCCATGCTATCAAGAGCAGAAGGGAGAGGGGCTGGCATGCAGCTGCGTCCCACCCTGACGGGCAGCTGGGCACCGCTGGAACTGGAAGATAAGGAGTCCTCAGGCTCCCACCACCGAGGTACGAGAGGATCTAGTCCTCAGGGGACCACAACGCCTGAGCGAGCACTAGCGGTGCCTCAAAAAAGGTTCCATTATGGTTCTTACGAATTACAGAAAAGCTACGTCCCTGTATGCAGATACCATGGTATAAGGTATTATTCAATATTTTCTACTTTAAAAATACACTTGGATTACTGACGGGCTTTGCGTGAGTTTTGGAGGTGCTCCCAAGCCTGTTTTTCAAGGGAGACAGAGGGAGCTGAATATACCAAGCAGCTTTACAGAGTGGGGTCCAAACAACTGCATCCCAGCCAACCAACCAACATTTCTGTTGTTGCAGCATTTCCTCCTCTGAGGTTTGTGCTGCAGCACTCAGAGGTGGTGACAGGAGCTTCTTGATGAAGTAAGTGGGCAAACAGGTTTCTGATTTCTGCTGGATGCGAGGGAAAGGAAAACAGCGGCACTCAGCGCGCTCGGCTCTGCTGTAAAATCGGCAGGCTCCCTCCTGCCTTCTCATCGGGCTGGAGGACTGGGGTCTCTGAAGGGAATTTTTCAGATTACACTACAGTACCTGCTTACAGAAGAAAAAGGGATGGGATAGAGAAAAAGCAAGAGCCAAGTCAATGGGATAGTCAAGGTTATTAGTTCGGAAAGGAAATTTTTTGTTTCTCCCAACTTTCCTATAAGCTCTAAAAATGCAGCGAAAGGAAGGCTCGCGAGAGGGTGACAAAACACGAAGAGGCTGTAAAGCCGCGTCTGCTGGCGCAGAGGTCCCGCATCCCATCTCGCCCCGCTCCCCGTGGTCCCTACGATCCTCTCCCCCAGAGCCTGGCTCACCCCTGTTCCCTGCCTCTCCCCGCGTTCCCCGGGGCTCCAAGAGGGGTCGTTCCCGGCCAAGGCCAGGGCTCGCTGGCTGCCTGCCGCGGCAGGGCCCGCCCGGCCGCCTGGCTGGGGGAGGAACCCATCCGAGGCTGTGGGGCGGCTGGCCGCTTCCGATGAGGGAGCACACACATTTCAGGATGGCTAACCTGTAGACAAGATCCTATTAAAATGAGGTGCTTAGAAAGTGTTATCTAGGTATAACCTGAAAGAGGAAACAACTGTTTGAGTTCATTTATAGGCAACGGGAGGTGCTTTCTCCTCACCGTGCTTCCATCCAGCTGAAGCACTGCCTTAACTGCCAGTGTTGTAAATTCAGTCACGCGGCTTAGAGTCCAACTCTGAACCTGTAGCCTTATTTCTCGCCCTCACTACTAAAGGTCTTTCAGACCAATTTATGCATTTAGTTGCATCTACTTAATCTCGTAGCCTTCTAGCTCTGCACCAGTGATGCCCGTGCGACTTCACTGTGATGCAAATCTCTCGGTGCTCCTCGCTCTCAGGAGGACCCTGAAATTAAAGATTCAGAAGCTCCGGAGGCTCTCCAGCTGTCGTGAAATCTCTTCAGGGAAAATAGGCTAGTGTCCCTGACTGAAATGTAGCATACAATCTTGCTGATGTAAAGGAGAGATTTTCTGAAATGTCCCTGAAGCACTCGAATAAAACACAGCAGAAGTTTGGATAAAAGGGAGGAGTAGGAGTAAATACGTACAAGGACTTGATGTGTTCTGCAGAAAAGGTTTTTCATCTGCTTTTTAGGGGGCTGCACTTTGGAAAGAGAGGATATAGCAAATCCTCATTTCTTATATCGTTGCTTTGCTAGAACACTGTAACAGGTGACTGTCATCGGTCCGGACCCATTCTCGAGTTTATTACTCTAGGGGGGAACAGGTCAAAACCATCACTCCCTCAGAGACCGTGCCTTTGTAGGGGACTTCACCTAAGAGGCACTTCTCTGCCAAAGAGAGCGTCGCCGCCTGCGCTCGCGGCACAAGCTGCTGAACATCTGGATCTCTGATAACAACGTTCCTTCGAATAACGGCTCGAAACGATAGCGCAGAGGCACAGCCAAAACACAACACCGCCTGCAACCGTCCCAGCAATTCCACCTACCGACCTTACGTGCTTTGCTGCTCCTCGCCCTCCCGCGTTCTCTTGCTCCCCGCTTCAGACCGCTCACGCTCCGATTTCCCGCTGGAAAGGGAGATGGCGTACGCTGGGAAACACCCGTAGGGTCGGAGCCTTTTCCTACAAGCTATAGTAAGGGCCTTCGTGCTTGCACACACCTAAGTAGGTCTTCAGGGCTGCTGCGAGGCTGAGCAGCGAGCGCCGTCACCCAGAGCAGGGAGGGCCACCGCTGGCCATCCGCAGGCCACCGGCCGGGCGTCCTGCCTGCATGAAGCGAGGGGATGGGCAAGGGGAAGGGGACTGGTGCAAGCCCCCGATGTCCCCTCGTCGCGGGGCTGGGAGAGGGCCAGCACCCAGAGCTGAGACCCCAGGCATGCTCTCGGAGCTTCCTGCTTGGAGTGATGGCAGGAGAGCCGGGAGAAACCCCATTGTGAACTGTAATCCAAACGGCATGGCCAGGGTTTGACAAGGCTCCAGCGTGGTATGGGAACAGGACTTATAAAGGCTTCAGGCTGACTACGCTGCAAGATTTAATCACGCCTCTATTGCCTATTTTGTAAGTGGTTTCTAGACAGTAGAGATGAGGCCTGGGAGATCCCCAAGCGCTCCTGCCCCCCTTCTCCAGCAGACCGCTTCAAAGGTGAGGACTGTGTCTGGGAGTGGAGGAAAAAGGGAAAAAGCTCCTTTAAAGGTCCTGCCCTGTTGATCTGTGAGCAAAGAGGGCTGAAAGCAAAGGACCCCCCCCCGCAGGCTGCCCTCGGCGGAGGGGCTCCCGACCCACCCGTGCCCGTGCGGTAACATACCCCCTCCGTAAACTCTCCCTTCCCACGGCCCAGGTTCCCACACCCCCCTGCAGTCAGGGTGGGCCCCAGGTACATTTGGGGGCTGGCTGCACAAGCGAAAGCCACCTCTGCACGGGGAGCGGGGGTCCCTGCTCTCCCCCCTTGCCCAGCGGCTGGGGAGGGGCCGGGGAGAGCTCAGGCAGGGCTGGCCCACTCCCACGGAGGAACCCTTCCCAAATCAACCAGAATTCAAGAGCGGACCTGCCGCTGGGGGGTCGGGGACTAAGGTGTCCCTCCGCCCTGAGGAGACGGCGATGAAATACGGGCAATGAGCTAAGGAACCTGGAGCCCGATCGCTCTGCGTTGCTTGTGTCGTGCCCCTCGGTTTCCCTGGCACCCCCGTTTTGCTCTGTCCACGGCGGGATTTTTTTTTTCCCTCTGACCGCTTTGTTCCTGAGCTACGTTCAAGGCTGGCAGCACATTTTCCTAACGTGTCTGCAATGCAGCAGGGCTGCAGTAACGCAGACGAGACCAAACCATTTTATGCCTCGCTTAGCTCACTCTTACAGCTAAGCAAGACTCCTAAGCGCAAGCAGCTCGGCAGCACGCCGGGAGCCAGCAGCCCAGTTTTACACCCTGCTTATAGTACTGGTTTTCAGGGAAAAACCACCCATACCAAACCGCCTGTTCCACCAAAGCACTTAAAACCTTAATGGAAGAATTCCAGCGATAGCTGAACATGACCGTCCCCTCTCCCTGCTTTCTGGAGAGCTCCCGCTTGCTACCGCAGCAAACGCTCCCAGTCCGTCCTGAGGCACCTGGGCAGCGACCCGTTTGGCACCGAAAGGCACGTAAGCACCGCCTGGCAAAAAAGAGCTGCCTGTCTTGCGCAGTCGCCGGCTGCCAAAAAGCCAGCGGAACAAACCGCCCCCTGCGAGGCGGTGAGAGCCTCCGCAACGACACCCCAGTCCTTCAGCATTTTGTCACAAGCGGCTTTTCCACTCGTGGTTCTTCCCTTCAGAAGGCCAGGACCTAAATCCACGGTGCTGACCGCTCTGTTCTGCAGCTGAGAATTCAAAATATTTGTCTCCGGATGCGGCTGTTCTCTTGTTAAACTGGTTTCAGCGCACCAGGACTACAGAAATCGGCAGTCAGCTTTTGAATGGAAGTGGTGCTCTGTCTTTAACTTTACTATTAAATGCTGATAGTATGGGTGTGGGGTTAAAAAAGTACAAGAAATAATTAAAATTAGAACCCAAATGCCTGTCGGGCCAGCATGGAAACTCGGGTTGGTTGCTGCTGTTTGGGGTTAGGTCTAAGAGAAAAAAGTCAAAGCTTTGAAAAAGTCAGGCAGCTGAAAAGAGAGAGGGTAAACGCAGCTAAAAGAAGCGGAGAACAAGTCCCCGCAGATCTTCTCCTAGCGCTGAGTTTGGAGGGTGTTGCCCTCCGACTCGGTCCCATGGCTGCAGGCACCAAACGCGGTCCCACCTGGGACGGCGAAAGGCGCTTTCTTACTCACCGTTCCCGGCAGATCCCCCGGCCAGCGACAGGGCAGACATCAGCACGATGAGGTTTTGTTTTCGCATGTTCCCCCGGCGGCACTCCCACCCGAGGGACGCTTCGGCCGGCTCCCGGCTTCACCCGAACATTGACGTTTCCTGTTTCCTGCCGGGGTGCATCTGAGCTGCATTTCTGCAGGAGATGGACTCTCTTTGATGGCTTTTAGGAAGTGATGTAATTCCGTCTGGGCCTGTCAAGCAAGCAATGATTGCAAAAGAAAGAAGAAGAAGAAAAAAAAAAAAGTAGTTGCTCTTCAAGTACTAACTCGGCGGAAGCACCTTTATGCTGTAGGTGAGCGAGCCCCTGCTCTCCTCTACTTTTTCGACTCCCGACTTTACTACCATCTGTCTTCAACTACATGCAGTGTCATGGGGACGAACATCATGCAAATACAAATCAGACCCAAAATTTCATTTATGTGTGTTAGCAGGAAGGTTTCAGGTTGCTTTTCAGGGTGGTTGAGTGAGCAGATTTCAGTAGTGCCTCCCCTCCTGCCTTGGTTTTCAAGCTGCGAGTCTCCCCGCCACGCGGTGGGACACTGCCCGCATTGACAGCCCCAAAGGTGACCCCCAACGGGGCTGTCTCCAGCCGGAGGGAAGAACGGCTGGTTCACTCGGCAACCGGCACCTGGGCCCTTGGGGCTGGTGTGAGCCGGGGAGGAGGAAAAAGCAGAAAACCACATCATTTTTTGTGAGGTGCAGGTGGCTGAGCTGGAGAGCACTTAGACAGCAGTGGGACGATGGCTGTAGATGACAGGGGACGGAAGGTCTCAAGCCCCACCGGGATGCAGTGCCTGGCGTGGGGGTCCATGGCTCACGGCGGTGGCGAGGGGCAGGTAACGCCTGTCTCCCTTCCTCCCTCCTCTGGATTTTCGCTCCCCACCAGCGGTCTCCAGCTGGGTGTGCAGACCCCGGGGCATGGCTGTGCCCCCCGACACTGCCCACTCCTCTGTCCCCACCGCCCCACCACTGCCCACTCACTCAGAAACACGCAAGGGTTGACCGGGGCTTCCACGTTATCGCCTGTCGCTGGGTGAGAGCAACGGAGGAGCTCAGCGTTGAACCCAACGTTTTCAGTCTTCTTGCTATAGGGGGTGGGCCTGGCCAGGGCTCAGCATTTGGACCTGGATCTAAACCATACCTGTCCCCAAGCAGGGAGGGTGGTTGGACCCTAGCTTTGGTTTGTTCCACAGTACACATAAGTGCTAGGTCTAAAATTCATCCCTCTGAGCCCCGGAGAGTCTGCACTCCAGATTTTACTCTGGAGCATCCCAGGTTTGAGCCGTTTTAAATACTTGCATAAAATTTTCCAGTAATAAACTAAGGAAGAAGGGACATATGCTGCCTGTGTAGCAGCTTCATGGTACTTCCCCCAGACATTAGTCTGTGTCAAAATCTGATTTCTGGTGAATTAGTTGAAGCTGGCATTGGTGAATCTTTCTGCTCAGATCGGTGGGAACTGCTGAAGTGACCAATTGTTGCTCTGCTTCTCCAGCTACTAATTTTTCTTAACACACTGATGCTTTTATAGGTCATCAGTTACAGTTTCTTAGCTTGCATAGCTGAGAAATAGGTCAGTGGTTCATTTAATGTCCAGCTTGTCAATCAGTTTAAAACACTTGAATGATTTAGTTAACTAAAAATCTGAACTGGTTATTTAGTATTGGCAAGGTAGGCGTAGGCACTTCATAAAACAGTGCGGGAAAAAAAGCAAAGCAAAGTTACAACAGTGCAGCTACGAGAAGATAAAGAGGAGCTCTGAGTTATGGAACTGCTGAATGACTAATTAAATATTTCTAGGAGACATTCTTTAATATGATGTCATAGCCATATGTGGTAACACTTCCCAGACAGAAGTGTCAGAGGTGAGACTTGCGAATGCTTTGAAGATTTTCTCATTAAAAAATGACAGACGTTCCAAGTATTAGTAATAGTGTCTAACTGATACAGATACTTTCAATTACAAAAGTCCAGAAATTGAGGCTACCCAGGCATCCCCTACGTGCTCAGAGGAGCCGCAGCTTTGTCTGGTCCGGCGATAGGAAAACCGACAATCAGCCGTCGGGCCAGCACCAGCAAAGACTGTCTGTGTTTTCATGAGCACAGACCCAGGTTCCAAGGCTGTTACTGTTGTCCAACCTCAACTTTTCTTTGACTTTAGTCAACAGTAGGCAAAGTCACACTTTTTACCAGTATTTGTATTGCTTTAACGCATAAAGGATGTGGCATCCTCCTTTCCATTTCTTCCCCCTCTCCTTCCCGAGTTTGCCACTCTCAGTCTTTCTCCCAGTTCACCCTGCCCTGCGGAGCTGGCTCGTTTGCCCGTTCTGTAGGCTTAGCCCCGCGCACTCACCCCGTCCTGAAACATAAACCTCGGCAGCAAGACTGAAAGGGAAAAGAGGAAAGGATTTGGGTTTGGTTTGTATCTTTGCTGCGTTGTTCTCTCATATTTCTAACGTACAAGACGATACCCTTTCTTCTTTTCCCTCCCAGTCTGTCTACATGGGTTGTAGCATTTCCCACGCGGATTCCCACCGACTATTTTTGACACAGTTTGGCCAACAACTCGTCACTGCCCCTCGAGGGCAAGATAGCCACCCACTGGTGTGTACCCAATTATGGATTTCTGAGGCAAATTAAAGTTCAGGAAACGTTACTTTCTGCCACATTAGATTTTAGTTAAGAAGTTAGAGCAATGCAAAAGCAGCTGGGCACGCATTTGACTATTTTAATTTTTTTTTTTTTTTAAATTGTAGAGAAAGAGGAACGAGGTATTTTGGCTGCGGGCACACTGGACTGTCACGGAAGGGCGGCGACCTGGGTCCATCCCCACCGGCGTCGCGATCGTGCTCCCTGAAGCACTCCCAGCGGGCTCCCCTTTGCCTGCCTGGGAAGCAAGGTCAGTACCTTCGCCTCCACGTGCCTCTCTCTTCACGGTAGAAACAGGGAACCCAAAAGCTGTAGTGACAACCTTGCTGCAAAACAAACTCCTGCAGTCGGAAACCCAGGCAGCTTCGGTCACAGATGATTTTTGTCAGGGGGGTAGATTGTATCTGATAATTTCATAGGCCTTGGTGTACTTACTAGGATCCACATCGCACCTTATCAAAAAGAAATGTCTTTTCCCATGTGAGACAACTAAGTTTCCTGGGTGTTTTCAGTGTATGTTACCCAGCTGCAAACATCTGCACATGCTTTCAGTACTGTTTTGTTGACTTTTACGTTATACAGGGCATTTCTCACCACCGAGCTAGGCTGTTTGCAAATGTTCTTTCCTAATCAGGGACGGGTTTGCATCACTGAGATTACAGGATGTCACTGACATTGTCAGAAAAACAGAGATGTTTTGTAACGCTTCGGCCACTCGACTCACACTCTTTTTGTTCCTTTTTCCCATGAAAACTCCACCACTTTTTGAGAGTGAGACTTTTGAGAGTGAAGGAGCAAGTTGCTGGTTAGTTACAGGGCTTATGTTGTGCAGCTTGTCTGCCGCAGACGTCAGCAGCGCATCTCCTGCTCTGAAGTGCAGGCAGGGGCTAGCACCAGTCGAGTTCTGCTAGTCCCTTAAGGACCGATTTCTGCCTCTGACATACGTTGGGAAAGGACAGATAAAATTTTCCCACAAGTCACGGTGAGAGAACGGGAAATTGCACTGTATGGCAATTCACTGCAACATGAAAAAACAAACGACCAAATCCCAAAAACAAAGGAGGGTGTGCAATGCCCACAGAGATCTTCTCAAGCCAGCCCCAGCGCCGGCTGCAGTGGTGCTTCGGCGGGCTGCCGAGATGAGCAGGAGCTGCCGAATCAAGGCGAAAATCCACAGCACCCTCGTGTAGAAACCTGACGTGGATCTGGGTCGCACTTGTTTCAGAGCAAGCCTTGCCTGGGTGAGTTGCAGAAGATAAAGCGTTCTCTGCAGTAAACTCTCTCAATTCTGCATTATGTGAAAAGACAAGTTGCATTTTATTTCAGCTGCAGACGTGCTCGAGAGAAAGATTTATACCTTTCTGAAACCAATGCCGCCAGTATAAATTAGAACAATGCTTAGAACAATGAGATATTGTCCCTAACTGGGTATCATAAAATAACATCACTAAAATGAGAGTGACAATAAAAGCATAAAAACAAGTATCATCTGCCAGTTTTAAGCACCTCTTTGCTTAACCGGGCTTGTAAACTTCTGCCTTCTTTTATTGTCTTTTTCTTTATTTTCTTCCTTCCACACAACACAGGCTGTTAAATCATGGCTAAAATATTTTTGAGACTTCAGTAGGAATAGAAAGAAAACACTAAACTGTACTTGAAAATACTCAGATGTTTGTATCTAAGTTTCCTTTAACAAAATGAAAAATGGATTCAAAGAAAGACTTCTTACATCGAAAAAATCCTCTGAAATAAAAAAGGCTGCAGGGTTCAGCTAGGGCCCTGGCAGAGTGACCTTAAAGTGTAGCTGGACATCTCATTTCTACTCACTTTTTGGAAAGTGGTGCCTGGATTACAAATCTTGCACATGCCAAAAGCATCCAAAGTTATTTGTAACTTGTCTAAAATCCTAAAACAGATGATGGCTGTATTCTGGTGCAGTGCTGACTGTTTTGAAATGCGCTTCCTACTGGGGACTCAGCTTTACTTCGGGCAAAAAAAATTGTGCCGAGCACCCTGACGAGACATGAAGGCATGAGCATCTCAGACCAGCAGCCAAGGTCTGCGCAATGCAGTTCTGAGAATCACGTTTTCAGGCACTTTTATTAATTCTAACAACATCACTACTGTGACACAAATTTACGCTTCACTAATCTTTTCTATTTGGATCCTTCGAGGCCAGTGCGAGAATGAAACGGAAATAAAACGCACCAGTTTATAAAAGGGCTTGGGTCACTTTCCTGATCTTTTATGTATGAATAAATCAGGTTTTCACTTCTTTGCGGAGCAGCACAGGGAATTATTAGCTAAAGGTTTGTCTCATTCTTTGAAAATAATTATGTAAATGTCATATTACAATGCTTAGAGTCTACGCTGGAATTAGAGACTGAAATGATTTAAATATAAATTTTCCACAGGGTTGCAATGTATCCCAAACTTGTATT